TGTGTGTGTGTGTGTGTGTGTGTGTGTGTGTGTGTGTGTGTGTGTGTGTGGTGTGTGTGTGTGTGTGTGTGTGTGTGTGTGTGTGTGTGTGTGTGTGTGTGTGTGTGTGTGTGTGTGTGTGTGTGTGTGTGTGTGTGTGTGTGTGTGTGTGTGTGTGTGTGTGTATGTGTGTGTGTGTGTGTGTGTTTCTAGTTGCTTATCAGGACTTATTCATACCATCATGAGCGTCAGGTTACTTTTCATAGGTTACTGTTTTCCACTTCATGCATCACACGCATGGGCTTTGTAAACCGAAGGCGTGAATAAACCAAATTCAGTTAGGTGACCGGACTTTGACTCGTCTAGCTTGACCTAATCTTGCCTCTACCTTTAAGTGTTGACATGATTTTGTAGCCCCACGCGACATTAACATAAGATTGACGATAATACAACACTCCCTTTGCCTTCATAACAGTTGCCAAGGCTCGCGACGATCGTGACGCGTAGTAGGCTAGAGCTGCTCCAAAGTTCTGATTATCCTTACAATATTTTTCGCTACCAGTGGCGTCTTCAGCTACGTTCCAGTGCCAACACGTCACCTTTCTGAATGAGATCAATACAACGCCTGCTCTTCCATTTCAAAATGGGTGCCATACGAATGTCAGGGGCCCGCACAAGAGAGGTCTGCACGGATACATTTGCCGCGGTTGTTTAATCAGAGGGATACATTTCCAGCAGTTGTTTAATGGGGGTTACATTTGCCGCAATAGATTAATCTCACTCAATATCACATAACGTTCACATTTGAAGGTTTACTCCTAACTCTTGAGGCAGTCGCGGTTGGTGAACTACTCCGGTTTATTGGTGAAATAGCGCGGGTTTCGCCAGACGGTACAGAATTAAGCACCATAACGAGCGCTTTAACCCGGTGTAATGCTTCATTGCCTTATTAAAGCTTCATGCAAGCTTCACCGAAGTAAATTTCTAGGAAAAAACTTCAAAATTGGGCTTTCCGTTAGAGGTGCTGCTCACGTTTTCTGTGTCTCGCACCATGCGCTATGTCGATCTCATTGCCCATCCACCATTCCTAGATATGACCCCTCTGTAGCGCCGCCACCGACCTCAGCCCCCACGTCATCCACGCAGCGCAGAGGCGTCGGTCAGCCTTGATCCAGTCTCCCCTCCCGGAGCCCCTCGGGGGCTTGTCAGGCACCGCCCTGCCCCGCTGCCAGATGAGTCATCAGGGCGGCCGCCTCCCAGTCGGGAACTCCCAGCGCCCATTACCCCCACTGGCCCACGGTACTCTCCCCATTACACGTCGTGCAGGGCAGGTGCGGCACGGGCTGGCGCGAACGCGCGGCGGCCAGCTGGCGCCAGCTCGTCCCGCCTCGCCGGTCACGGTCGGACGGGATTTCCTGCCGCCGCGCCGCCGCCCCGGCGCTGATGCAAGAATCCCCAGATAGACGCTTCCCGACGCGCGAGATGACCATGAGACTGCCGCAGAGGCAGGTGTGTGCGCACGAGGCGCCCTGCTGGACGGCTCTGCGACGCGGCGCTGTTGGTAGCACGTGACGCGCGACGGGTGGTCACAGTGAGTCACGGACTGGAGCGCGCCCGTGACGTGTCGCCCCAAGTCGGGACTGGGGCGAGCGGGTGTTCTCACAGCGTAGCGTGCATTGATCAAGGTGTAACTCAGCAAACTACATCAATATCAGTTTGAGGAGGCGCAGGAATAATGTGAAACAAGTCAGTTTGATTTCAATTCTTATTATTAATTCATGAGACATACATGAGGAGGAATATGAAAAGGGAGATGAAGTGGGGAAATTGTACGTTAGGAAAAGTAGCAATACCAAAATAATTACTGATTTCATACCCGTCCCCGTGTTAACGGCTAACCTAACTGGCCCCGTGTTAAGGGCTGACCGAAACACAGACTGGTCAACCCAAACTTGGTCTCACTTTTTGTTAGTTTGTTTTTAGTTTTGGGAAACGCAGAGACGCGGGTGACCTAAGACAAGGAATGATCAAAGGTGACCTATTTGTTGTCGTTTTTTTGTTGTTGTGGCGGCTGGAATATTAATGATATCACAGAAACTGACTAAGACTGAGGAAAGTTTTCGAACGTTTTGGCGAGTTTCAAGGGCACCCAGTTAAAGTTGGTTTTACTAACTTCAAGGCCAGAGTTAATTCACTTCAGGGCCGTATGAACAAGGGCAGCGGTTCAGCGACGCCACAGCAGTCTGCATACTGCGGCGATGTCGCTGATACGTCCGACATCCTCGGCGCCAACTGCACTTCTGACAAGCTGGGAACGTGGTACTTACATGAAAAGACCAAGTGATTTTGCCTCATCCGACAGCCTCCGCAAACACAGCACCCGTGTTACCGCACCCTACACCTGCGTAAAGTCGCTGGTAGGGCTTGGCAGTGCCCCGTCAACAGCGAGCGCAGCACAACCCGAACGTGTTTACGTTTGCATCCATCGTGAACACGAATGCGCGAGCGCCCATTCTGTTCCTGACTTTGAGCAGAAAACAGCCAATGAATGGCGGTATTCGCCCCACGTTTCTATGACGTCATGCATGTATAAATGACCTTGAACTAGTCTGTACAAAATAGTCTGCACAACTTTCCGGGCGCCGAGTTCAGAAACAACGGGGATTTGAGCATTAAAAACCATATGACTGTAGACTGCATTGGATGATCTTCAATATGTTTTTTTCAATTAAAACACTGTGCCGCAACAGAGGCTGACCTGCGCTGCCCGACGCTGGTCGGAAGCTGGCTGGGAGGCGGCCGCCTGGTCCCCAGCGGAAGTGGCCGGCCCACACATCCGTGCCGGACCTTGGTCATGCAATATCAGGCCCCGTCGCAAAAACGACAGTGAGCCGCGCCAGCACCCGCTGATCGGTCACGCGCCGTTAAAAAACTGACTGTGAGCAGGCTTCATGGTATGAGGTATGAGGTATAAGGTAGAGATATGAGGCTGTATGCAAAGACGGTTTGCAAGAGCAATGCTCCCACAGATAATTTTTACAGACCATCAAGCGGGTAGATAATGGGTGCGAAAACTGGGTGGCTTTCTAAGGTCTGGCGAAGCTGACACTCGGAATGTGTTCATAAGTGTTTAAACATTTCCTTTGGCCAATGTCGTACAGCTGCAATTTAGTGAGAAGCTCAGTGGCCGATAGCCTGAAGCACTTAAGTACTCAGATCAATAATTAAATGAGAATGATTATAATTCCATACATAGCAGACAAGCTCAGGCCACAGATGGGCCGCATACGCTTAAAATACCGAGGACAGTACAACTCCCCAAATAAGTTTTCTACACCCACAGTCGATAAGAGGCCCCGCAAAATTCCGAATGCCACGGCGTTACATAGACTTGGAAACGTCTCCATTGTGATGCCAATGCCAACTTTGGAGTCGACATTTGCCTTGCACTACTTGAGGACCAATGCCGAATATTCTTAGGAACTGGGCGATACGGCCCTCTGCCCCCCCCCCCCCCCCATTTTCTTACGTGTATGTGTTGGTGCATGGCTGGGTCCCTCGACATGTTCCAAGGCCGTTGAGCCGGTCCAACGGGGTCCCAAGAACGGCCCTAACAGTCCCGAGAACGGTCTAGCGGTCCCGAGAACGGTCGGAGGTCTGGAACATTCTACAGGCCCCAAACTCCAGAAATATTCAGGGTCACGCTGTTACAAGAGACCACGGAGCAAGTGAGATCCTGATTGCGCCCCTTTACCGGGGCGGGCATCGCGCGGTGGCGGCAGCCTGTCTCCACCATCTCCATGCCGCCCAGCAGCGCGGCATTGCCAGGTCGCGGCGGCGGCCCTGACCCCAGGCAGCGACGCGTGACCGACCAGCGGGTGCTGGCGCGGCTCACTGTCGTTTTTGCGACGGGGCCTGACATTGCGTGACCAAGGTTCGGCACGGATGTGTGGACCGGCCACTTCCGCTGGGGACCAGGCGGCCGCCTCCCAGCCAGCTCCCGACCAGCGTCGGGCAGCGCAGGTCAGCCTCTGTTGTGGCACGCCGACGGCTGACGCCCGTGATGGCCGTGCCGGTCGTCATAATTGTGATGCAATTGGTGCGGTTTTGTTGTTCTCCGTGTCCATGCACCCACATTCAGTGGCGTAGCCACGTCCTAGCATTAGAGAAGGGGAATGGGGTATCAGGGTTTGTATCAGGGTTTGCATCAGGGTTTGGACTGGCACCTGACCTGAGATGATGTCGTTAACGGGGAAGTCGGGAAAATACGCTTTTCGCGCCAGTAACTCGCGTCGTATTCTTTTCTTAGGTGGCTCCGCGAGGCATGGTGCTGTCCAAGCGAGACACGGGGAACTGCCCCGCGCTCAGCCAGCCGCGCTGCCAGATCCTCGTGCAGGCAACGTAAGCCTCACCTGCCGTGACCCCGCATCGGTCTTCTCACCTGTGGGTGGCTTCGGCAAGTCAGACGGGAGAGGCAGTTGGATCGTAGTGATAGGCGCATATCTGTTGCTGTTCCGCTGGAGCGCACACCCAACCAGAATGCGTTCATCTGCCGACACATGCAGCCGCTAACACGCTAGGCTGAACATAAACACCAATGTCATAGCGTTTGCATTCTCATAACCAATACAACAGGCTGATCAGAATTGCTGAACGCCACTACGACATAGTAAGCCAGGACAGCGTCACGTATATTTGGCTGTGGGGGAAGGATGCGGGTTGGCGATGGGTGACCTAAGTCAGCCCGGTAAATCTGTGATTCCCCAGCGTGTCACTCTGTGAGTGTCGTCTGCTAAATTTTCGGGATCCCCTTACTTCCGGTAGGTTAGCTCCACCACTGAATGGGCATAGTCCTTGGAATTAAATGACCAGGTGAGCTCACGCTCTTCTTCGGCGTGAGAACGAATGCCGGGAAGACCGAGGAAGGCTTGTCGCTGGTTTGACACACTCTCAGTTGGACGATAAGTTCGGGAGGAAGTGGTGGAAAGTTGAATCAAATAACTTGTGTCTGTATAAAACTGCAGTCTACGGATGCTTAAACGTCAACTTTGTCCACATTGTCACATAAAGCAGGGTGTGCAAACAGGTAAATGCTACCGCATCATCTAATTTTAAGTCTATTTCTAAATACATTGAATAACTTGCACCGCCTTACAGCAGCATTGCGTTGGTTACAGTCGGTCCTATTTTAAAGTCCATGCTATTTTTTCCTAACCACAACGGAGTAAAAGGCAACCAGAAGTTCACTCCCACTATCCCAGCGACGCACAGAACCATACGTTAACACCAAACTGGATAAAGAACAAGCTGCAGCACTTCCTACTACGCGGTAGTAATATGCTAAAAAGGCGCCAAAAGCTGAGCAGGATCGGTGACAGGCCTACATACGCAGTGAGCTTGCTTAAGTCAGCAATGACTGCGCACTTAACCCAAGGGTGGTGAAAGTATATTTCTGTCCTCGAGCGAATTCCTATGGGCAACATCGTCACCAGCAGCTTAATCTTACACCATATGACACAAAATAGCAGTGAAGTCTGAAGTCAATGAAGTCAATAAAGTTATGTCCTCTAGGGCCATCAAGTTCTGGCTTGAATTTGCGATAAAAAGGCGCTTCTCATTGCCGCGATTTAGAAAAGTATGCAAACGCAGCCGAAATGATGATTCATACAATGTCATTCGACTAATGGCAGGATACATGCTGCCGCCTGGGATGTGGGCACATCGGCCCAATTCTGTAGGACAATCCGATCACCAAAGAAGTCTTCATCCACCGTCGGGACTTGCCGGGCTTCAGGTTTAATCTTGACCTACCCCTGGATTCCATTCCCAAAACCCTCAAATGCAAAAAAAGCGGGGACAAGACAGCAGTAATAGCCTTATTCTTGAGCGTAAGTTGTGTGAAAGTATGGGAGGGACATAGCTGGTGTCGGGGAGTCCATGCGCCCTATTCTTTTGAGATATAATGAATACCTGCGAGACGCTAAAAACAAAACAGGGAATACCCCTTTCGGTGACCTTTTTTTGGCAAAACACGCTGAGGCTGAAATCGAGGGAGGTATGGACCATTTGCCGCTTTTAGAGCTCAAAGTCATCTAGAGAGCACAGGACCACCCAGACAGGAATATATGTAAATCCATTCTTATAAAAAGTCGGAGACCAAATCTTAACGTACAGGGCTCATCATGGCCGATTATGCGAACGTGATATATGCTAGCTTAAAATTGTTCACAGGTGTAAGTGATGCCCGACGCGAGATGTGCGATGCCTGTTCAATTGAAATCGCTTGTATGTAAAGCTGATGTGCAATATGTGATGCCTGTGCACTTCAACTCGTTTGCATGGTTGAATGGAACGTGATGTGTGATGCCGATTTGCTCCAATTCGTTTGCACGTACACATATTTTTACGTATTCTAATTCTCAGATATGCACTGAATCGTGGTAATTGCTAGCAATTGCTCTTCGCTGAATCCCCTGAATGCTGGTGTCCTGTAAAAACTGTGACTTGCTGTTTCCAAAAAAAAATCCTGAAAAATCTAGTAGGTTCATCGGCAGACCATTTTGAATTCATTTCTGCTATTGTTTTCGTAAGTGCATGCTGCCAAAATATCAACCCAGCTATATTTCCATTCTCCTGTTCTTTTTCCGAGGAATAAGGCCATTACTACTGTCGACCTCTTTATGGATAATGTTCCTCGCAAGTGCACTCAGCAACTTACATAAAATTAAGGGAAATCTCAACAGCCGGGGCACCTGAATACCTGGCAGCATCGGAACCGGTGGGAGGCGGCACTAGGAGATGAAGTCCAATATTCGAGCCTCATCAAAGCAGTGTACTCTCACAGACATCCCATATACGCCCCGCACCCAAACTCAACTATTACCATAATCTCCAGCCTCCACCATACCATAAACATGCTCCCACACTGACGCGGCGACATGTGTGACCTGGTAGGAGCCCATCGCTACAGCGCAGCGCTCGGTGCACTGATCTAAACCGGTCTTCTGCGCTACCTAGAAAGGAGCAAAGAATATATTAGGTTCCGGGTTGGACTCAGATCGCGATTAAGGTGGCTGCGCGCCTGCTGGGCGAAAGGAGGCGAGAACGGCTTTAAAAAATCATGTGTTTGGGCCACGGAAAGGTACGATCGCTTGGCTGTTTTTAAAAGAATACCGGTTCTTTCACATTTTTATTCACAATCAGCCAAATATTCCTAATAAGGCACGGTCGCACTCCCAATTTAGCGGACTGTTACGTATTTTGACGAACCAAGTCCGCCCAAATTCTTTGTTTAACACCCGCTCGGGTGGGGGGCAAATTGATCCCCTTGAAGTTTTTCCGGAATGGTTTCCGAACGGCGCGGCGTAGCCGCGCCAAATTTTGCATACCGTAGACAACTTAACAGCGGATGGTTTGTTATGTGAAATTTAGATATGCCTTGTAAGGTCTCTGACCTAAGACAGGTCAAAGTCAAGCCATGGATGCAGCGAGGTCAGTTCGTAGAAACTCGTTTAATCGGATGCAACAACGGAGTGTTATACGAAGCCATACATCTCTGAGATACTTTCTTAGGCAGCGCGACAATAGCAGGAACAAATTCTATTGAACTAGGGTCACTAGAAACTAGAACAGGGCACTGACCTATAATACCTCAGGTCAACATTTAGTTTTTAGGAAAATACTACCAGGCGTAGTCGTCGTCATTTATTAAAACACAAGACGCAGAACAGTCTCGTATGATTTTAGGCACCATGACCTTCAAAAGGACAAACAAGATCACTGACCCTTAATGACCACTTGTCCTTTTGTTTAGAAAATGTGTCTCGGTTCTGAGGGTTATTTGGAGATCAGCCTGAAGTTTGATTTTGTTTGATCTTGCTTGACCCGAAGGCCATGACCTAGGAACCTAAAACCCTGACCTAAGTGATTCCACGCACAGGCCAACACACCCTGTTAATTTGGTGTCTCTAGCTCTTTTATTTCCTGAGATCTCAGCCGGGGCCAAATTGACCTCCCCACCCAAGCAAAGGGAACTCAACTGGCCGCCCGGGCGCGCGTTAAAAATTAGCTTTCTCATCGTTCGAACATGTGTTCCTACCAACCTGACGAAGCCTAACTATTGCCAATGTTTGCCGTCTCTTATACCTTTCACATGAAAAAGCTCAACATACATGGATTTATTTTAACGCGCCGAAGACGGGATATTTTGTTGTTGCCAAGCTCATCAGACCGTCAGTGCAAATAATCCACAAAAACTACAAAACACGTAAAAGATGAACAGCATCAACAACTTAATAATAACTAATCGATTTATATTTGTCCACAGAAGTTAAGCGCTACTTCTAAATACACGAAACAAAAGCCTCCAAAAATTTTTGCTTGATCATTGGTATACCCAACTCTTTTGAGCAGCACAACACCTTTCTCATGTCTCAGCCTATGGATCGCGGAAATCTTAGTTAACACGCGTTTATGAACAGCACCATGATGCACAGCAAATTTCCGTCCAATCTATACAGAAAGGAATTGGATGAGCAATGGGTATCATTAACATTTTCAAAAGGGTCCATAGCAAAAGCCCTATCTAGGCGCACCCGGTTCTGCTGGCTGATCCAGCCCCTCAACCTCGTCATAGACGTGCACTTCAATAGGACCAATAGACATAAGGCAACTCTATGTAGGCTTTCAAGGAGTCTCGGCAGGCAGGACTATAATAATACGTTTGTACGCACACCTGACATCAAGACTTCCTTTTTGTTCCTTTTTCCAAGATTTCCTTCATAGCTTGAACCACACACTATGCAACTATCTCAAAATGAAATTAGCCATTCCGGTGCGAAGCCATTGGTGAGCATCATGGGTGACGTGTTCGCGCCCCTTAAACCTGAACCTACGCTTTTCTACTATTTCATTTCTCATCAAATGCACTACCGAGTGACCTTGGAAAAACATGACCCATAAGCGCTTCCAGGGAGAAGCCGACCGGCGCCGACGTCTTCTTCCGCGTAAAGCACGTACCGCGCCGTACCAGCGTCTGCTGCGTCGCAGAACCATGCGCTGCGCCGGTCGGCCGGGCGCGCGGGCCGGCCGAGTGGGCGACACGTCCGCGGTCTCAGGGTCGCGTCGCCCGGCCAGGGGACGATCGGGCCCGATCGGAGGGTGGTCCCCCCACGCGGACGTTCCAGGTGGACGGCGGTTATTCCAGTGCGGAACCGGCCGCCCCCGGCGGGCTGACCTTGACACGCTTGGCCCGGCGTGCCGAGATAAAGGGAGGCCTGGCCGGGAAGCAGGCAGTAAGACTCGGAGGGCTGCGCCTGAGACGACCCACCGCCTGACGTCAACCACCCGAGGTGAGACGAGATGCCGTCTGGGGCAGAGACCAGTCCGAAGCACAGTAACGACTCGTCCCAGGAGTACGTAGAGACTGCGGGCATCGAACTGATCAGCGGTCCATTTTTCGACCTCTCCGATGCATTAGTCGTCCGATGTACTAGTCGTCCGATGCACTAGTCATCCGATATACTAGCGTCCGATGCACTAGTCGTCCGATGGCACTATTCTCGCATGCCTATTCGTCCGATTTACTAGTCTTCGCGATACACTAATCGTTCCCATGCAACTAGTTCCGTCCGAGTACTATTCGTCCCGTGCACTAGTCATCCGTGCACTATCTCCGATGCACTAGTCATCCGATGCACTAGTCTCGATGCACTAGCGCAGTCGTCCGAATTAGCCGTCACGATGCCTAGTCGTCGTCACAATGCACTAGTGTCGATGCACTGTCGTTCATAGCCGTCCCATCACTTCGTATGCACTTTCAGCCTTGTCCGTCATTATGACTTCACAGTTTTTACGTAAATCCATTGTTGAAACGTTACAATTTGCATAACTGGTTTTGCAACGTTGCGAAAGAAAAGCATTGTAGTGCAGCTGTCGGCAAGCCAAGGGCAGTATCGATATCTGACAAAACTAGTGATGTGCGTAACGGTATCACGGTCATCACGCCCCCCACATAGAATGCTTAGGATACACTGTGGGCTCTTGCCACGTGCCCAGCATGTTTTGGGACAACTGTTAGGCGTTTGTGTTTTATACGACCGAAGGACATCAGGACAAACAGCGTTGTGATCATTATGAAGGCTTCCGTGTTTGCTCGGGTTTGTGTCTCGTCGACCGTTTTTGTTTGGCACCTCACGCTCGTTTTATCCTGGTCCCGTCTCCACCGGCTGGCACCGTCCCGCTACAGTACTCTCGGGCTCTGACCAGGGGCATACGTCCTGTTTCAGATGAAGCTTTTGCTGGCACTAGCGCTGGCTCTGTCCGCCGTCCTCGGCGACGACAGCAAAGTCAGCTCCGACCAGCCGGCCAGCGACGTCCAAGTCGCGCTTTGCTGGCCGGCACCTGGGCGGCGTGTACCCTGGTACCGGGTACCCTGGTACCGGGTACCCTGGTACCGGGTACCCTGGCACCGGATACCCTGGTACCGGGTACCCTGGTACCGGATACCCGGGCACCGGATACCCGGGCACTGGGTACCCCGGTACCGGATACCCTGGTGGCAACCCCTACATACGGCCGTCGTACTGCAAGTAAGTTCGGGATGTCTTACCATGATCTCACAACGTAACATCAAAATCTTGCCCCGGCAATTTTCTATTCTGGGGTAGGATCATCCTGTAGTGATCAGTTCTGTCAGTCTAGGGGTTTTCATCGAATTTCACGCAGGGGCATAGAAATGTCCTTAAAGGGAGTGTTCCATGTTTATATGGGGATTTAACTGAAATAGCCATCTTAAAGACCTTTCGGTACTGTTTACAATCCTGCACTTCTTAAGACCTAAGCCCCATAGTTTCTGCGCTACATACCCGCGAAAGTGGGGAACGGCATTCATGACGTCATAACAACGCCATTCAGATCCTGCCGTTGCACAAGCCATGCGCCGGTCAAGGCCAATAAAAATATAATTGTTGAGACGTTCACATCCGACGTTCGCGAGCGCCATTTCCAGATATAACGCCCGTCAATTGGCACTCAATCAATGTTGTGACAGGTACTATGTCGAAATCAAACCATGACGCATTGAGAAGCAGCACTTACTAAACAGTGAACTATGCTGTCTAGAGCAGCCTTTAACCCCTCACAGTACGCCATTAGTTATAAGTGGGCTGTTTCATTGCATCTGATGTGTGCCTCTATATCTTCAAATGTGAAACATTTCCTTTAAAGTGCAAAGTGCGCATGTTCGAAATCAATTCTTTCCATGCGTCGCGGAAAAAAACTGAGGATGGGCGTGTATTCCCAATGTTTCAGATATCAGCACGATGCGTATGATACAGCATGGAAAACATGGACGCACTGGCGATTTGCATCCATGTCTGCCTGTTAGTTTTCCAGATAGCAGTTACATTTCTCGCCCTATCACTACACGACGGCACATGCACTCTCACCGAGTGACGGCGCATGCACCCACATCGAAACAAAATCTTAAATTTAGGCATTAGGTACACTTCTGATCATTTCGACAGACCCCGCTTTTATTTGCTGGTGGGAAGGGATGAAGTCTACTGTTTAGCTGGGGCTATAGCCCCCCCCCCCCCGCTAACTTGGTTTCCCTCCGCCACCCCCAAACTTGGGGAAAGTGGGGCAGATCCGGGGAGAGATCCGTTTGTTGGCGCATTTTGGGAGAATTTGCAAAACTTTTACTGCTAAGCCCCTTCACACACTCATTTGGCAGAGTCACTTGCACTTTGATATTTAGACATTCATATTTACGTTTCGATCTTGAACGCATAACAAATCTCAGTCTGACAGGATATGGACGCCCATGATGGACCTGGCATGGGTGTAGGCTTCCAAGCCAATCGTCAGTAACCATTTCAACGGCCCTGCAAAACTGGTTAAAACTGGTTGGCGCCGGCGTATCCATGTCTGCGCGAAACGACCAACCTTGACGTCTCCGCTCGGTTCTGACCGCTGTGCCCGCCGACAGGAACTGGTGCCGACGGGACAACTACTACCCAGGGCTGGGCCGGCAGCAGTACTACTGCTGCGACAGGCGCGGACCGGACGTGTACAGGCCCCAGCCGCTGGTGGTCGGCCCCCCGCGGCCCTACGTCTACCCCGGAGGACAGCAGAGTGAGTATGCCTCAGTCGCTGGTAGGCGGCCCCCCACGACCCTACGTCTACCCAGGCGGACAGCTGAGTGAGTATGTCCCAGCCGCTGGTGGTCGGCCCCCCCCCCCCCACGACCCTACGTCTACCCCGGTGGACAGCTGAGTGAGTATGCCCCAGCCGCCGGTGGTCGGCCCCACGCGGCCCTACGTCCACCCCGGAGGACAGCTGAGTGAGTATGCCCCAGCCACTGGTGGTCGGCCCCACGCCGTCTTGCGTGTACCCCGGAGGACAGCTGAGTGAGTATGCCCCAGCCGCTGGTGGTCGGGCCCCCGCGACCCCACGTCTATCCCGGAGGACAGCTGAGTGAGTATGCCCCAGCCGCTGGTGGTTGGCCCCGCGCCGCCTTGCGTGTACCCCGGCGGAGAGCTGAGTGAGTATGCCCCAGCCGCTGGTGGTCGGGCCCTCGCGACCCTACGTCTACCCCGGAGGACAGCTGAGTGAGTATGCCTCAGTCGCTGGTGGTCGGCCCCACGCCGCCTTGCGTGTACCCCGGAGGACAGCTGAGTGAGTATGCCCCAGCCGCTGGTGGTCGGGCCCCCGCGACCCCACGTCTACCCCGGAGGACAGCTGAGTGAGTATGCCCCAGCCGCTGGTGGTCGGGCCCCCGCGACCCCACGTCTACCCCGAAGGACAGCTGAGTGAGTATGCCCCAGCCGCCGGTGGTCGGCCCCACGCGGCCCTACGTCTACCCCGGCGGAGAGCTGAGTGAGTATGCGCTTGTCGCTAGAGAAGTCGACTACAGCGGCAGGGGCTCCAACTGAAGTGTTGTTGTGCCAACTATGTTCGCGCCTGTGGGCGGGGAAGCGGCGAGCAATCCCACGTCCGCATGCAGGCAGCAAACTCAGCTGACTCGAGACCATGTGTAAGTTGTATCCCGGCGACGCTTTAGTTTTAGCGGAGGATAAGAATGACTTCTCACCTGCTGTAACCCGACGGCACAAAAATAGGTGTGCCGCTATATGTAACAATTTGCGTCTGCCTTTCATGCACACAGACTGCACGCGACAAGATTTTGCATCAGAGGATGATGTTAACACCCCTTCACCCCTTTCGTGCTGTACTCTGTAACGTTGCCATGCACATACTAAAAAAAGCTTAGTATCAAGCACTGCCTGCTCGGTAGGGCGGGGCGCGGCTGGTCGGGTTGGTCGGGCGCGGCGGTCTCTGTTGAGAAGGATAAAGCGCAGCGGTGTGTGTTGAGGACAGCGCGCAGCAGTGTCTGTTGAGAATGACAGAGAGCAGCGGCGTCTATTGAGGACAGAGCGCAGCGGTGTCTGTTGACTGTCTCAGAGAACAGCGGCGCCTGTTAAGGACAGCGCGCAGCTATGTCTGTTGAGGTGGATGGAGCGCAGCGGCGTTCGATGAGAATGACAGAGCGCAGCAGTGTCTGTTGAGGATGACAGAGCGCAGCGGCGTTTGATGAGAAGGACAGAGCGCAGCTGTGTCTGTTGAGAAGGACAGAGCGCAGCGATGTCTGTTAAGGAGGACGGAGTGCAGCGGTATCTGTTAAGGGGGACAGAGCGCAGCGGCGTTTGCTGGGGACAGAGCGCAGCAGTGTCTGTCCATTGCGGTCGTATGAGTGACGCGGCAGTCCCGTTCTCGTTTTAGAGGTGTGCCCGCCGCCGCAGCCCGTCTGCCTGCGCGCCTACGGCCTGGCATCTCCCCCGACTGAGTGCTACAGCGACTCGGAATGCTCCACGGCCGACAGCTGCTGCTTCGACACCTGCCTCAACCACAAGGTGTGCAAGACCGCTGACTATGTGGACACGCGGACGGGGCCGTACTCCCCGCAGAGGGGCGGCTCCAGGCGCAGGCACGGGCAGAACGCGCACCGCCGCAGGGGCGGCGGCGGCGGCCCGCTCGCCGGCCTCCTCAGCGTCTTCGCGCGCGACGCCGCGCACGACGACCCGATTGTCGCCAGTGACGATGCGGCCGTCGTCAGCGCCGACGACCACAGCGGCGGCAAGGTGCGCTTTGCGAGCGAGAAGAAGGCGGCCCTGGATAAGACGCCCGGGTCGGGCGTCGACGCCGCGTGAGCGCCCCTGCACCCATTGCTCACCGGCCACCGGCCATCAGGTGGCTGGTATTGGTGTCAAGGTCGGTGGTGTCCCGTGGGTGTCGAGCGGCAGGACCGGTGCGTGAGTCACTGGGCCCACTGCCGGGTCATTTCCATTCTCCAGCGGCGAGCGGCGATGGTGCCCACACTGACCACCGCTTCCGCATGAGAACGCGACGTTGCGACAGACAGCTCGTACATTTCCGTGGCGTACTAGGAGGTGCTCTGTGACTGGCGGGTGACCTTGTGGCGACCTTGTGGTATGCATGAGGTGTGTGTCGCGGATAGCGAGAGTGTTGTAGTGATGGCTTTACGCCAACAACGCGGGAAGGCACCTGAGGGATCACGGGCATTTGAATTGTCAACACGTAAACTGGAGCCTTGAGAAAGCTTATGGCAATATTTTCCCGGGCGTTAAAGTTCTGGAAGATTGCCTCATTTCTCCTTTTTTATTTATGAACGTTTCCCAATGAGCGCTGAGATGTTAATTTATTCGAATGCAATAGGTTGAAGTGAAAAGTGGCGGCGTCGATAGTGATGTTGCACCATGAACGTTTGCCATTGTTTTGCTGACCTCTGTATCAATGCGTAAAATAATATGCGTGCGTCAAATAAAGCAGAAATAATACTACTCTCTGGAAATATAAAGCTGCGCTACTACAACCTTGATGTGGTGTCAATTGACATATCTACCGCCACGCAGGGGTGGAATTTTGCTTTTTTCATTTGGGGGGCCGAGGTCATGAACATTTCCCATCCTATCTCCCAGACGCCTTTCTTTATGAATTGGCATCGCACTGGTATGTTCGAAGTCACATACATACCGATCTTTGCAAAATTTTCGAACACTTCCCATACAAGACGCAGACACTTAGGAATCCGAACAGCGTTGCTTTGAGCGCCTTTGAAGTATGTGCAATATTTCACAGATGACAATTTGTGGGACAGCGGATGGGCTTTTGTATCCTAATTATGCTTTTTCGTAGATATTTCACAGCTTACGAAAACGTGATATACCAATTCTTACCTCAGTTTAATCCAAACATGGATTGGGTGTGGGTGAAAACCAAAACCAACCAAAAGTCGTTATAACATGATGCGATATAGACGGCGCTAGCGATGAGGGTAGCGCCAGCCATATAGGTGGCGCTAGCACTGCACTGCTGGTACCAAGAGTAGAGGGATGCTTACATGATCATAGATCATTTCTATTAGGGATGTATGTCTGGCGGCAAAATAGGTTTATGATAAGGTGCCGGCCTTTCACCCACAGCACCGTTGCTGCCTCTAAAATTTTGTCAGAGCTCCAATACATTTTTACTACCCTTATCGTGAAGGTCGTGTCACTTTACATACTTTCCGGTCTGTCTCCCCGCTCCAATGCTGATTCGAGCCCCCCATACTTATGTGAGTCTCTCGATGCACATGTGCAAAATTAAGTATAAAAGCAAAATTCAGGAAATATCTTTAAAATGCTGGTACAGCAGGTGCCTATCTCAAGGCATCGCTATTATATATTTCAGGTAAATTTTACATCACATCGTATCCTGTATGCATCTTATGTGCCTTCCTTATTTCTATTTCTTTGTAAGTAAGGTCAATCTGGAACCATTTCTAGACTTTTTACGCGATAACTAATTGATCGGGACAAAAATCACTGTCATGCGGCAGCTTTTAAGCAAAAGGTGCCCGCATGTATTTACCTGTCTGCGCAATTTTTAAGCGAACGGTGGCTGTACGCATTCACCTGTCTGCGCAGCTTCTAAGCAAAAGGTGGCTGTATGCGTGCACCTATCTGCGCAGTTTTTAAGCGAAAGATGGCTGTACGCATTCATCTGTCTGCGCAGGTTTTAAGCAAAAGGTGGCTGTATGCATTCACCTGTCTGTGCGGCTTTTAAGCAAAAGGTGGCCGTATGCATTCACCTGTCTGCGCAGCTTTTAAGCAAAAGTGTCTGTATGCATTCACCTGTCTGCGCAGCTTGCCACCAATGAGCGTTTATTTTATACATAAGCAAGTTGTTAACTTCACCGTTCTACGACTTCCTCATGAGCCTGATGTTTTCTTAAATTGGGGCACATGCAAGGCTACACAATGGAGGAGGGGAGCGCAACTACAACATGAAAACTAAGTTAAGCATGCCGCAGGCCGATGTTTTTTAAATGCAATCCTCGACGCCAAGAACACAACTGAAGTGGTCAAAATAAGTGAAGAAACCAGGTTTTGGGGTAAATGTTAAGTCAAACTTACAGGCTGAGCCACATAGCTGATTTAAAAAAGAGACACCTCTGCTCAAGATCAAGTTAGGGGCGAGGTCAAGATTGAATGCGAGGAGTGATCACAATGCCAAATGTAATGCCTGACATACAGTTCACGTGCACTAGTCAGGAATGGGGCATGAAACAAACATTTTGCCTCGTTCGTATCCGTTTACTTCTACACAAATACAAAAGAAATCGATACCTCATGCCAAGAAAGGGCCACATACTGAAAGCAATGGTCAACTTAAGTCAGTGACCTCAGATACAATCAGATTGCTGTTTAAAAATGAGGTTGTGACGCTGTTGTGAAGCTAAGTTAATCAGGCAAGACTACGACCACATCACAACGTATTATAGTGGATGCCATCTTCAACCATATTTTGGTCCGACGTGGCTTAGCTTAGAGAATGCTACCTATTTAAATGCATGGAAACAAGCATGAGATGTGATGAAATGAGCTCTTTTACAACCATCGGTAAACTTTGCAAGTGGAAAAGACTACTCTGGGCAACACAATTTCTCTACCTAATAAATCAGCCCCACAGTACGTCATTGTTTGATCGCGTCATAGTACCTCGCACAACATTTATTGAGAGCCAATCAATGGCCGTCGTATCTGTAAATCGTACTTTCGAGCACCAGATACGAACGACTCGACAATTATGTTTTTTCGGCCTTGATCGCCGCTTGGCCTTTGATGTGGCGGTATTTGAATGAGGTTATTATGACGTTATAAATGCCACGGTGACATTGAAGTAGTCGGCACATCTTTGCGGGCGTGTAGCTCAGAAACTAGAGAAATTTTGGTCTTACGGAGGGCATGTCTTTGAACTGCACCGAATGATTTTCAACATGACTTCACTTCAAGCACTTTACAAATATGGAAGACCCCCTTTAAACCCAACTAGGTTCCTAACCGGACATCCCATGGAATACAAGCTCGGAGTGCATTTCAAATTGTTGCAGGTGACGTATCAAAAGTATCAAGATGTAAACAGTAACTAAGCTGCAGCTGTTTGAACGAAACTGCCACGCAGGGCAACTGCTTAACCCGGCCCACCAATTCAAGGCTCTCAGAAATCGGTACCTGGGAGATATTTTATAGAGGCATCATTCACAGTCCCGAATGCATCTCAAGTTTAGTCTTCGGAGCTTTCAGATTCCAGGATATCTTGGAAAATATTTTAGTACCTTTTTTCGCCAGTCGCGATAGCTCAACTGGTTCAAGCGTGTGCCATCCGATCCACCCACCCGCTGCATGGTCGGTTCGAGTTACTTTGGGCGCTCGCTATTTTGTGCTGGACGGGAATGGCCTACGGCCGGTGGTAGCAACCGCGTTAAAATTCGACTGATATGAGAGGGTAGGACGCATCGTCCCCAACACTGCGGCGCCTAAAATTTTCGCAGCCAGATACTGATGATGACCTTGAGCTTTGTAATCGGGTAGCAGGGGGCTCGCACAACGAACACTGTTAAGCATGAGCTCCCAGAACTCCCAGATTTTTTTTCCACAACCAGACATGCCAAAACTTATGCCAGAAAGTGGTTCGATCGCTCATTCGTCCATTCGCTAAATCAACCGAAAGTGGCCCTTAGGATGCCTATTCACTGTCATTGGATTATTTTTGCGTCTCTGACTACCAGAAAACCATGACATGCTTGTTGAAATACGATGTCAAGCAATCATTAGGATATAGCATGCGAATATTCGACGCTTTAGATTAGTGCTCCTGGCCATGAGGCCCCTGGTTACGGTCGGTTTTGTCCGCCGACTTTCCTTTATACTCGGCGAGGGATTACTGAGAGTCACATCACCAAATATTTATCGTTTTTGATGTTGTGCTCCCATGATGCTGAAAATGATAGTGAAATGTTTCGAAATGTTCACCAATCGCCTTACTTGTAGGTACACGACTCCTCTCATTATCCGAGCTGTCGTCGCACACAGCGGTATCAGTGTTATCACACACATGGCCTCGTTTTAACAACTAAAGCACGGCAGCAGTTATTTGTGGTTAATAAAATACAAAACGCAGAAACATCGCCACCGATGTTAGCGCTGTTTATCTACATGCGATTCACCGCTTGTGAGCGGAAATCCAGAGCAAGTCAAAGATAGTAAGAACGGATATTTTACTTGGGTTCCCCATCTTGCGAAATAAGACACCATGTACAGTGTGTGGTGTATTAGATATGCAGCAGTTTTGGGCGAAGCATGGCAAGGAATGACTGAAAATACTCCGTGAGACACTTCCAACGACTGAGACATTGGTGTCAAATTTAGGGCAGAGTGGAGTGGGTGTCAACACCTATCAAATTATGCCGAGGAAAAACGTGACCATAGCAAAGGTTACAGCCATATGTATCTAACACCAGATTGAGACACCGATATTGGCAGCATAATGCATTTACGGCCACAGCCCCGTAACACGAGATAACGACTGCATATAACTGCGTTTTCCTCCGGTATCGCTGGTGCCACACATAACTGAATTGCCACGTGCTGAGCGAACGTGGCATTTTTTAAGCTGAAATTTTATGATTTGTCCATTGCAAGCAAGTACCTACGTTCGCGCTGTTTGGGACCGATATATTTTTGTGCACATTCACTCGCCCACATAAGATACAAATTTATGGTTAAGAACGCCAAAATGGCAGGCGATGGCCGTTCTAAACGGACCAACAGCGTTGCACAAGCTGGATCTCTTCGTCAAGACCTTAACTTCCTTTTTGAAGCCGACGAACAGAAGAAAAGGAAACAGCGCCAGCGGAGTTCAAATTCCAGAACACATTCGAAGAAGAAACTGCCAAGGCTAAAGGCAACAACCACTAAAGTACTCAACAAAAAGAGCTTAAAAGCATCTGAGGCACTGTCTAAAAAACCACGGATACGAAACGCAAAAGAAGAAGAGAGTGATAACGACGAGAAACAACATAAGGTGGTCTTAAACCGAAATGGGTCAAAAAGAAGTAGACGTGCGATGCTGCATTGCAGGCAGCCGAGAAGATCTGCAATCGACGCGGCTTCGTCGATGTCATCGGCATCATCTAGGTCTCGAGGGTCTGGGTCTGCTGTCGACGGGTCCCTGAGGAGCCGATCTTGTTCTTCGGCATCCCAGGCTTCCAGCTCCCAGTCAGCTGCATCAGGCTCCCGGCAGGCACAGTCTGGGCCTCGACTTCAGTCGACCGCTGCCAAACCATCCACGTCCAGCCAGAAGAGTCAACCCAAGTTCAAGCGACGCAATTCCCCTCATCCACGTCTTTTGCGAGCAAAACGTACGAAAACTGCCAGCAGCCGGAAGTCCAGATCAAGATCCAGGACCTCTTCAGCCAGCCAAAGGTCTACGTCAAAACAGTCGCACGCCAAGAGAAAGCGTTCGTTGATTAAGAAGCGGCCTACT